AAAAACTCTGGAGAGATAAAACCAGGGGCCCACAGCTGAGATCTGCCTATCTGGAGCAGAGCCACCAGAGCCAGGGCTGGTAGGGATACTTAAATGTTTAAGTTTCTGTATGGACTAGTGGGAGTCAGAATGTCAAGGTCTCAGGAAGCCCTTGTCCATCTGAGTTTTACTTCCAGGAACCCACCAGAAGGACTCCAAAAACTTCTCCATAACAACAGCCTGGTTTCCAATGAAAACACTTTGCCAGAGTCTTAGCCCAATGGACATTTCTCTGATTTCAGCCCCCTCCGGCCTCCTTGTCTGACAACAAAGGGTTGGGAAATATATATATATAAGAAAGGTTGTGAAGGTCACAGCCCAGAAACTGAAAGACTGAGTTTTAACAGGAAGACTACAGGTTGCTGACTCCAACACACCTTACAACTGCACAAACGGAGCTCCAACGTAGTAACAGTGGATTGAATCTGGAAGAGCTGCCAGGCACAGACCCATTAGCAGAAGAGTACTTAAGGAAGCCCAAGTCAGAAGCATGGTGGGGTAAAAAACAAGGACACTGGAGGAATGCGAACCTTTTAGCACCTACAGCGGCAACAAACATATGCAGCTTGACTCCTAGCCAGGTTAACAGTAAACTTTATATTACACAGGGAATGGTGGTATATGCCTGTAATCCCAGCTACTTGGGAGGCTGAGATAGGAGGATCTCAAGCTCAGGTCCAGCCTGGGCAATTTAGCTAGACCATGTCTCAAAATAAATAGGGCTGGGGACATAGCTCAGTGGTGCAGCACTTATCTAGCACACAAGGTCCTGGATGCAATCCCTAGTAAAAAAAAAAAAAGGGAAAAAAGACCTTACATTAAAAGTTTATCTACCTCAGCTCCTATTACCCTCTGTATCATGTCTAGTAGTGTTTCCCAGACACAGTTCAGATATAAATGTCACTGCATAGTGAGGACGGGGTGACTGACCCCTCTGAAGCCGTGTCCCTAAGTGACTATCATCTTTGACTCCATTTTGCCTTCTGATGCAAAAGGATTTCCTATATAGAAAGCACACCATGGCATCTTTTGCAAATAACCCTGTCAGTCAAACAAGGAAGCAGGCTTCTTTCAAGTGGCGCCGTCTAGTGGGGCGCCCTGCCCTTTACTTCTATCCCTGCTATGACCAGACTGTGTTCTGGGAAACTTCCTCCAGTTTCCACGGCATCTGTGTAAGGAACTGCAGGCTACAGCTCTTTCTGTCCTTCTCTATCACCTGCTGAAGTGGCTGTGTGAAGCACAGTTCCTGCTTCACCTGGTCTGTTTTTGTGCTTGAGTACTAAACTGTAAGCTCTTTACTGCTTCTCTGAACAAAATTCCAGGAGCAAAATCATTAAAGTGTCATCTTTTCTATGAGATTAAAGCTCTTGCTAGTCACTGACTAAGGTCTGGCTTTCTTGGGGAATTTCTTTATTTTTTTGGTATTCTTTCCCTTTCGAGACAGGGTCTTACTATGCAGCCCAGGCTGGCCCTGAACTCGTGGTGGTCCCCCTACCCTGACCTCCCAAGTGCTAGGATTACAGGTGTGCCTCACCATGTCTGGCTTCTCCTGCCTAAGACTTCATACTCAGAATGTCTCCTTAGTCCATTAACTGACTAGGGCAGTTCACAATGTGGGGCAGGGAGGGGATAAGAAGGAAAACACCAAACCACTGAATTACAACACAATTTCTCAGGGTGTATTTTATTATTTTAACCATATCAAGTTAAGCTCTACTAATAGTCTTTTCACAAAACCCTAAAATCGTACCTCTGTAAAGTGTTCTCGTTGTTATGGGCATCTCTTATGCACAAACGGGACTTTCTCTCTGGAACTGGGCAAACATTCCCATAGTTTCTGCGCTCCACTTCTAACTAGAGAACTGTAACCCATTCCCACACATCAGAACATCCAGGGTCCTCCCAGCTCCTGCATGGCATCGGCGTAAGCATGTGCCACTGTTCAGCTTTGTCTGGGTGCACCTGCATGCCTCTGAGAATGAGTGCCTACTGAAGTGTGTGCCCTAGGCACCCTGCTTGTCTCAGCCTAGTCCTATTCCCAGCCCTGGCACAAGGGGCCCTTTATCTCCTGGCCCTGGGAGCTTCAGGCTACAGTGGACTTCCATGAGAATGTTTCCCCTCGTCACCTTTTCTGTTTGTCACTGGCCACACACCTCCACTGTTCTGTTTTCTTTTTTTTTTTTTTCATTTGTTCCACATACTCTCCCCTTTTCTTTTTGGAATGTGAATAAAAAACTAAAACCAAAAACTGATTTCTCATAAACACTGCTCACTAGTCAGCGAGGAGCTGCTGCTCACTCTCCTCAGGAGTCGCTCTGGCGGCCTAGGCTACACTATGTTTCTTGCTCCTGGACACAGAGAAGCTGCTCCTTCACTTGCCAACCCTCTCCAGGAGCCACCACGGTGTCCTCCAGTGTGGGAGGAGCTGGAAGTCCCAAGTCTGTACAATAGCTTGGTCTGGATGTGGGTGAACAGTGACAGCAGCAGCCCTATGGCCTCTTCCTCCACTCATTGCAAATAGAGCACCAAAAGACACTATACTTTTTTTAAGGAAGATACTACTTTATTACCAACCCAGTCAAAATTGCTATTTTTATACAATGTGTTTTATACAGAGTGTTTACGGCAACTTCTCCAAAAAGCTATAGATTTTAAATTCCAGGGTTGGAGTTTTTTAGGTTTCTTCCAATTTAAATAATCTGCTTCTAGTCAAAGGATGCAACAGGCAGTGAGATGGCCCTGAATAAAGAACACCATGCAGTATCTCTGCTGTCCTTCCACTGGAGGAGACTGAGTTCCCAGACCAGAAGCCAACAGCTTGGTGCCTGGAGCTCCAGCGAGCAGTGGCCTCAGGGGCCAGTGGAGCTCACAGATCTGCCTCGATACCCTCTGAACTACCAGTCAGGCAGTCACCCCAGTGTTTACTGAGGACCTGCTGGGTGCAGGGCTCTGCTTGTGTGTAGCAGAGAACACACACATACAGCTAGGCCCTGATGATGTTTCTGCCTGGCCCTAATTTCAGGTACCTACCCAGCAGTTCCTCCCAGGCAACTGGCTGCGTGTTTCCCCATGCAGTCTCGAGAGGGTTGAAAATAGGAGGCTTGAGCAGAATAAAAATTGAGAAGATTCACCCAGTTGGTAGAAAGCCAGTGCTTGCTGGTTCAGCCACCCTCACTTCATTAGTTACAAATTTTACTTTGAAAAATGCTTACATAGCATTTAAAATGTGCCAGGCACTGTTTTAAGTAGGATCTGAATATTAACTTTTTAATTAATCTTCATAACAAGCCTAAAGGATAGATATTATCATTTTCCTAATTTTAAGAGGAGGACACTGAGGTACCGTGAGGTTAGCTAACGTGGGTTGACCCAAGGTCAGAGCTAACATATGGTAGGAGTGAGGGCTGGAACTTGAGCAGCCCAGCTCTAGTCTTTGCCATTAACCACTGAGCAAAACGTTTAACAAAGGGGGTGGAGGTATTTATGCATGTAACTTGCCTTTCTAAGGACAACCATACTGCTTCAACTACTAGTCTCTAGACGGAAGTTAAAAGAATAATAACAAAAACATACAAGGCAACAGCGGCTATAGCATCCTGTCTTTGGCTACCTGCATCCTGTGAGTGCCCCAAAAGCTTTCTGCAAGGGAATCTGTGCCAGACAGCCCTCTCTCAGGGCAGGCAAGTCTGTGCAGACCAAAGCACTTATGGCCACTTAAATTTAAATGAACTACGATTAAATCAAATTTAAAATTCAGTCCCTTCAGTGGCATTAGCTATATAACATGTACACAACAACCATGTGGGGGCAACCACTACCACACTGGATAGAACAGAGACAACACGCCTATCAACACACAAGGTTCTGGTCAGCACTGAGTTTGACTGGAGCGTGACTTCTTTTTGCACTTTAGTCGGAATACATCAGTGGGAATAACTTCATCTCCCTCTCATTATAAATACAGAAAATTCAAATTACATTTCATTTAATCATTAAGCAAAAGCTGAGTTTTGAGGGACAGAGTGGACTATTTTCAAGCAAGTCAAGTAAATCTCATGCCTGCTGGTACCTGGTACCCAGGCTGTTAATATGTCTTCTATAATAGTGACTGAAAGTTTGAAATCAGTGAGGAAAAAGGCACTCATTTGAAAAGACAGCAGATAGCAAAATCAATTCTTTTATATACTTTAGCTTTGTGTGCTGGACGTTAACCTTTGGGACATGTACCCAAGGGGTCACGAGAAAGCTAGACAAGAGAGGGCAGCTAAGTCCTCACAAACTAATCCTCCCATTGGAAAACAACTCAGACTCATGTGCTACTACATAAGGTGGGTTAGACACTCACAGGTCCTTAAAACAGTAACAAAAAATCCCACACAAGAACAAGTCAGATAAAAATGGAAACTGTGTGGCTCAGGGACAGTAGAGCCAAATTCCCCACTGACCCACTGAAAAATGTTTTTTAGTACCCTAAACTTCTATCACTAGGATACCTAAACAAATAATACTTCTGTTCCATCTTATGCTGGTTCACATGAAGTAGAAAAGCTGTAATTAAAACGTAAAAACTTTAGCTATAAAGTACACATTCCAGAACATTCCCATACTTAAGGAATCTAAAATCCAAAATTCTTTAATTCCTCAGTTTGGAGTCTATAGAATCCTAGAATGACTGTTTTTTAACAAGTAGGAATTGCTTTTGCTACCATAGATTTTTGTTCACTTTGGAAATTCTCTTCTCGATCCTTTTCCCCATTTTCTCCTCTCACTCTTACTGTCTACCCTATTGCTTTTAGTAACACAACTGAATCTAGAATTTAAAAAAAATTTTTTTGATGAATACAGGATTACTTACCAAGCAGGAATTACAGGAATGATACTGTATACAACACCTTAAGCTCCTCACAAGATTTAAATTAGAAAAGAAAAGATGCAAAAATAATAATAATGATATTACATACTTGTGACTTCTTGTAAGAAATCCAAACACGGTCGACTACTTCCGGAAATACTTATTGAAACAGCCAGTGGGGTCTGGCCTTCATAGTTCCTCGTGTTCGTGTCCGCTCCATAGTTATACAACATCCGTGCGCAGAGCACGTCATCCCGAAGGGCAGACAAGTGTAAAGGAGTCTGCCCATCTTCTAAGCGCCCCAAGTTTGTGTCTGCCCCCCTCTGAAGGAACATCCGACAGTATGAGTGATTACTTTTGATCACAGCATATCGCAGCAGGAAGCCATTCTGAATATCAATGTTGGCATTGTGGTCCAGGAGGATTTTAACACAGCTTGACCTCTCTCGGATGATGGCGAGCTGAAGTGGAGTGGTACCCTTATCACTGAGTGGGTCAACCTCGGCCTTGAACTCCAGAAGGAGGCGGACAAATGAGTCCCTACCGTAGTGTGCAGCCACGTGGAGGGGAGTCCAGCCATCATTGCTTTTTGCGTTAATTATGTCACTCCTGTACTCAGATTCTAACATCAAGCGAGCGATCCGGGCCCGGCCATGCATGGCTGCATAATGAAGAGCAGTGAAGCCTCCGATTAAGTCCTTTACTGTGGGATCAGCTAGAGTTAAAACCAAAATGAAAACATAAGAGGACTTTAAGACAAAACAAGGCGCTCTACCATGGCCCAGCATGCTGATTCTAGCCAATTCTCACACAAAATGAGAAGGGACCAAACGTACCAAAGAACACCATGTACTTTGCTTCCTCAGTTTAAATAAAGTCTACTTTCAGTGGAAAATACATTTTAGTAGCGCTATCAAGCTTGAGTTAATGGAAAAAGACTTACAAAGTGTTTAAAAAGATACAGGGTTCAGATCACCACATCCCTTGTCTTTGCTCACTTAATCAACTGCCTTTGGCTACTTAACCCTGTCATCTCCATTAGTTCATGTTTTTCTTTTTTGAAACTTTTGTTTTATTTTTCTCTTGTGCTTCTTCTTGGTCTTAAAGAGAAGCATGTGTAGCACCATCTGTGCTCTGAATTACAGATGTGCTATGGTTTGGAAGACTGTTGTTTTAGGGTGCATTAGGAAAAGTTTCCTGTGGTCTATAAAAATTCCTAAGCATGAAAGATACATGTTAAGTGACCTTGATAAATCGCGTTTTCATAAAATAAAACATGACTCTCAATTCTTTCATTTTACATGGTCTTGCAAGTTTACAAGAATTAAGCAACAATTATGTGAAAAATTGGGAGAAAACTCAGTACTGTATGAACATTATTTTTTAAAACAATTTTCAAAACACCTAAACTGACCGATTTGGGGGGGGGGGTGTCTGCTCTGTGACTCCACAAGTCACATACTTTTGTCACTTGCCCCGCTTTGTCATGAAGCCAAATTCAGCTCTCTGGAGCTTATATCCCACTGGCATCCTAAGCAGTGGGGAGAAGAGGGAGAAGAACTGCTAACTCCATCTTGTGCCCACCACTTCCTGGAAACGAGTGATTCAGTAAGAGGCTAAACTGGTCAGACCTAACTACTGTACCAGCATTACAATGCTTTCTTCTTATAAAAGTCATCCTTCATTTTTGGTTTGTTTATGAAAAAGATCAGCAGCGTTTCTCACAAAGTGCCTCCCAAGTTCTGTATTGTTTAGTAAAGTGTTATTTAGTTCTAGAACATGTTGTAACAGCTGAGTTCTCTTAGAAAAATCTATGAAGCAGAAAATTATATGTTAAAATATTAATAATTCTGTGGGGCATGAAAATTTCAGTCAAGGAGTTGCTAACAAAAACTGAAAAGTAGTATTTTTAAGGTAAACTTTATTATCTGAATTTCTAAAAACATTTAACATAAAGTGATAGTACATAATGGTGCTATCATTTTTATCTGTTTGGAGAAAGTGAGGGTATCACTTCTGTGCTGGTCTCAACTAAAAGAGTATACAGTACTGATTTACTATGTGACATTAAAAAAGCAGCCAAGAACATTTTAGCCAGGTATTTTGCTGCCATCTACTGGTACAGCATGAACAGGAACTAGTAATGGTTTATTCTGACCTGAGGCTGAGCTCTCAAACCACTCAAATCTGTTTCATACACAGTACCTCACTTACCTGCAGCTGACTAAGTGAAGACAGATATGAAATCTAAGCGATTCCCTCCTATTCAAATGGAAAACACATCTTGCCAAAACGTCATTTCTAATTGCTACCTGGCCAAGCAACTATTTCCATACAGTCCCTCTCGATCTGTGAGTGCAATTTAAGAATATATCATCCTTCATTCCTCCCACCTGCATCCACCAGGGGTGCCTGCAAAGGTCCTTAAGTGCATCCTATACTTGTCCTACAGTAAAATTAAAACTGTGTTACATGAAACTGCACTTGCATCTTTGGTTTCCACTTCAGGTCTTTTTGAGGTTCTACTTACGTTTTGGTGCTAACTGAGCTAAGGAAAAACACAGATGAACACACACAGCAATGATCTGATTGGTTTCAGTAAAAATCATTCAAATGAATTAACTGACTGCACCCTGGGAACATAGTACAGAATGAAGAGCTGTAGAGTAACAACACATACATTGTATAATTACTGTCTTCAAGAAAGTAACATGAGAGATATTAAGGCAAATGAAGGTAGAAATAAAATTTAATTCAGGATTACTATTAGCCAATGCAATAAGACAAGAAAAAGGGATCACATTTATAAAGCAACAGACACTACAAAATACCTAGAGAAATTCAGTAAGAAATCCAAGTAAGGCATATGCAAAATAAACTTCTTTAATGAATTTACTTTACTTCTACTATGTCTGCTCAAATCTCCCTTTACCAAAAAGCCTTCCTTGAACACTCTAACATAACAACCCAATAAACTTGTTACTTGTCCCCTTAACGAACATCTTTCCCCAGATGAAAACAATTTTAAATAAGATAGAACAATCTCAACAAATCCATTCAAGTCTACTGGAAAACTATAATGCATTTATAAATGAATGTAAAGAAACACTTTCTATGTTGATTATCACTTTTTTCCTACCAGCTTTACTGAGCTAAAATAAAATGTACTCATTTTAAATCTGATTGATGAGTTCTTATAATTATAAGAGTCACATAACCAAAACCCTGTCAAAATATGGAATATTCCCATTGCCTCGTTAAGGTCCTTCAAGCCCCTTTAAATTCAATTCTCCACTCAGACGATGGAGCCTAAGCTAACCTCTGGTCAATAAAAATAAGTTTTGCCTTTTCTAGAATTTTGTATGAATGGAATCATGTGTAAACTTTTGTTTTTGGCTTATTTCACGTACCATATTTTTGAAATTCATCCATGTCACTGTATGTATCAACAATTAATTCCTTTGCATTGGTAAATAGTATTCTATAATATAATTTTTTTTTTACCCATTTGTGAGGATATGGGCATTTGGGTTCTTTCCAATTCGAGGCCATTTAAATGATGCTGTGACTGCTGATGTGTAAATGTGTGTATGGATATACTTTATTTCAGTTGTGTAGATACCTAGGAGAGAACTTTTGGGTCATATGTTAAATGTATACTTTATAAAGACCTGCCAAGCTGTTAAGTTTCTAGTGGCAACACCAATTTACATTTCTAGCAGTGATACGTCAGATTTTCAGTTGTTCCATATTGTGGCACTGTGAAATCATGGCTTAATATACTCTTATCATTTCTTTATTAGTTTATGTTTTTCATCATTTCTTTAGAACAGTGTATTTTTTATCATTTCTTTAATAGTTTTTATGTTTTTTGTGTCCTTATAAAGAAATCTTTGCATAACACAATGCCACAAAGATGACCTAGTTACTTCTAGAAATTTTGTAGTTTTAACTCTATGTTTAAGTCAATGGTCTACTGCTAGTTAATTTTTGTGTGTGGTGTAAGATAAAGCCAAGTTTCATTATTTTCCATAGAGTTATCTATTTGTTCTAGCAGAACTTATTAAAAACTTTTTTTTTCCCCAATGATTTACCCTGGTCCCTTTGCTGAAAATCAATTTACCACTTAAGTGTAGGTCTATTTCTGAACTATTTCATTAATCTAAAAGTCTTTTCACATACCATTACTAGACTGCCTTGAATATTGTAGTTTTATAGTAAATTTTGATAGAAGGTAGTATAAATCCTCCAACTTTGTTTAAAATTATTCTGGGTAATACATTTTAGAATCAACTTGTCAATTTCTTCAAATGAGCCTGCTGGAAAAGGTGGCAATCCCTCAAAGGGTCTGAACAATACTGATTCTTCCAAACAATGAACATAAGAGTATTTCTTCATTTATTTAGGTATTAATTTCCCTCAGCAATGTTTCAGTGTATAGGCTGTGTATGTATTTTATTACATTCCTAAACATTTTAAATTTTGTTGCTATATATAATGAGTTAAAATTTCATTTTCCAAATGTTGATTACTGAGAGAAGTTAAATTAAGCTTTTATAATATTGACCTGTAACCTAAATTTTCTTAGTTCTAGCACATTTCTGTGGATGTTATAATTTTCCTCATACACAATTAAGTTCTCTCCAAATAAAGACAACTGTATCTCCATCTTTCCAATTTATTTACTGTTCTTCTCTTACTCCAATGGCTAGAACCTACAGTCAAATGTTGAATAAAAATAATGAAACCATTTTCCTTGCTTTGTCCCTGATTTTAGAGAGAAGGTGCTCAGCAGTTCCCCACTGAATACAAAGTAAGCTGTCACTTGTCACAGATGACCTTCCTTGGGGTTAGAAATTACCTTCTTCTGTTTGATTAGTCCTTATCAGGGAGAGGTTGTTTAATTTAGTTACATGCAATTTCTGCACTTATTGAAATGTTCATTTGGTATTTGTCTTTTATTCTCTTATAGTAAATACATCACCCTACTGATTTCCACATGCTAAACAAACACTGAATTCTTGAGATAAATAATACTTGACCATGATGTAATATCCTTTTTTATATATTGATAGTTTATTTACTCATATTCTGCTAAGAATTTCTGTATGTGTTTCATGAAGGATATTGGTCTGTAACTTTCTTTTCTTCTAGTGTTTTTGGCAATGGAGGCAGTTAGAAAGTGGTCCCCTCTTCTGCTTTTTCAGAGTCTGTAAAAGGTTATACTTAAAACAATTTAATGAAAAACCAGCTGGGCTTAACACTTTCTTTCTTCATGGACAGTTTAAATTATGAATTGAATTTCTTAAATCAATATATGGCTATTAAATTATTCTATTTTTACCTTGGGTCAGTTTTGGCAATCCATGCTTTTTAAGGAATCTGTTTCTTTTAACTGGCATAAAGGTACTCATTATATTCCTTACCTTTTTGATGTCTACAAGATCTGCAATGATATCTCTTTTCCACTCCTGAAACTGGTTATAACTTTTCTCTTGTTTTCCTAATCAGTCTTATTAAAGACATCCATTTTATTAATCTAGAACCAGTTTTTGGATTTTAGTTCCATCAATTTTTTCTATCATATCAATCACAATGACTACTGTTTTCCTCTTTATTATTTCATTCCTATTTTTACTTTGGGCTTAATTCTAATAATATATAGAAACTATTTCAAAATAGCCTCCTTCCCTTTCCCTTCTTTTGTGCTCTACT